AAAAAAAAGACAAACCTCAAAAAATCAATAAATGACACATGAGGGCTGGAGCAAATGTATTTTCTCACAGTAACTCCAAATAATTATGTTTCCTGTGCCCGTGCGATGTGGACCACAACCGAGGCAAGAGGTAATCTTAGGACATGTAAAGTGTATAATAACAAAATAAACACGTCATCCCTTATGAACTGTGAGCTGCTGTGACCTACGGACACTCAAATGTTGACCTTTACTCAGAGCTCCCATAAAGCCAATCAGTGTCGTTCTCTAGAGGCTATAACGAGATGCCAAAATGCATCAAACCTCAGTGTCAAGACTGTTAAAACACTTCACCTTTAGTTACTACATAGTACCCCTATTAAAGCAATCAGTGTCCAAAACTGTGACACAGTGTCAATACGCATCATCTCTCCTAACTTAGTTAAAGCTGTAAAGATGCTGCTCATGTGTGAGAGTTTATTCCTTCTTACCCTTGCTCCAGTCCGGAGATGATTCCTCCTACTGCTCCTTTATTCTTTCCCCGCATTAACATGTTCTTCATTTTCATCTCCGTGATGGAGGGGAGCAGGAGGGGAACAGCTATGCAGAACAAAGCCAGCTGTGGGGCCACTGGAGCACCAGAGGCTGATTTCTTTTTCTGCCCGTGGAGGAACTTCAACCGACCTTGGAACTGCATCGTCTGGAACAGAAGAAAGAAAGGACCCATCCAAAGGCCTTGATTAATATATAATACAATTACACAAACATCTAGGCTTTATTTTTCTGCCCTTTTACAAAGGCTTAAAGGTATCGACTATTATAGCGACCATTTTTATGACCAATCAGTGGCAAAGAGGTTTCATATTGTTGGCTTAGCTTCTGCTAAGTTTCTCCTCTTTTAATCTGAGTCACTGAACTGAACCTCACTAGCATATCTGCACTGTTAGTGCCACTTTCAGACAAACAGTATGGGTTCCTATAAAGTCAGTTGTGCCGACACTCCATCCAATAAAACCTCAAATCAGGAGGCATCTGTGTCTGTGGCATGCACGCGTGTGGTGTAAACATTTAGCTAGCCAAGCTTGTTAATGTTAGCTAACTTAAACTTGGTGATCCTCCCCTCAAGTCCAGTTTAACCAAGTTTAATTAGATGTTGTGTGCAGTGTTCAACATCTTGATTAAACCTGTCAGCTAACTTTTATTAGCCAACACTGGTGGACATTTAATTTTTGGCTAACACTGTGAAGGAACTGACTGACTTTCCTGTCCATGAAATAATGCTGCTACTGTGTCTGAAAACACTCGTAAGTGGTCCAAATGTTATGAAACCGAGACTTTCTTGCCAGATTATTTGTGAGCAGATTGAGCACTGTGCGTTACATTACAAATTGTTGTGTCCTAACTGTAATTATGTTAACTGATGAGGAAAGCCTCCAACCAGTATTTCCTCACTACTTGGCTACCAGCATCTACAGTATATGTAGAAAATTGCCATCTAAAATTTCAGTTGTGCGGCCAGCTTCAGTGCAACCAGAGAGGACTTGGTGACAGTAAACTTGACTGACCCTGATGAAACAGTCCAAACCCATATTCTCGTTGCTCTGTCATCAGGGCCTTCAGCTTTTCCACTGCTGGTCTCCAAACCACTCTAGTCACAGCCATGAGGGATGAACCACGCTCATTCTCTGCCACTG